CATCAAAATTTGTATATAAAGCACCATTTACATATCTTCAGCTCGGTGTCTTTCGAGAAACAAGAAAGAATTAAACGTTCTTCAAAAAATATCAACAGTATAAATTCTTCCGAGTATTTTATCACAGTATTTACGCGAGCATCGTTAATCACGAGACTTTTCAAAACGTTCTTCCGGCCGTTTAATCTACTTACGATAGCGAACACATGCTCCATTGTTTCGCACGTGGTTGCAACAGGATCGTTAAGATATTCTTACCTGAAATTGATTTCGCCTTTTTATGCACGACCTAGTAACAGCGTGCAGAAATTTCGTACACCTACGCTTAGGCCTTTTCTGGCAATAGAAATCAAGAATATAAAAGGTGGGCAGGCGGTGTGGGCGAACTTGTGTCGCGAACGTATGTTCCTTCTCGTTGTATACACTTAACAATAATTTTACGGTCGGATAAAAGAGTTGTGCTCCAACTATTTATGCTGTTTAATCGTGCTTGTTTCTCTTAGAAGGGCAAAATCACCGTATAAGGTGTCCCTTAACGTTCGGTTTCATTTTTCAAACGAGAACCTAAATTGGTGTATTTTACAAGATTACAGTGATAAGTCGGCTCTGATACTTTTCGAATCTTCTTCGTGGGAAGAAGACGAAAGAAGTTTCAAATTAGTGGCATGAAATATTCTTTATTTTATTAATAATAATGGACGAGAATGTTGTATTCGAGCTTTTATTTTTACGTAGATTACACCTTTTGGGTTGCATTCAGGAATATTTATAATCACATTAATATTTGCACGGTCGATTTCACGGGAAAATTGCAGGTTTTACGGTGACTGGTGAAACGAAGTTAAAAAATTACGTTAAAATATTTAATTATAAAAATATATCGATATGGGTTGAATACTTGACGCTTTCATTTTTCTTTGCATATATTTTGCGTAAGTAGTTTGTCGAAGAATACCTTTCTATTTTTAATGAAAATTCTATTTTCAAAAACTGTCGTTACACGTGGCACGAAACGTGTTGAATTACTAAATAAAAGATATAAACAAAAAAATTGCTACTTTAATTTAAACAACGTGAAAGCAAGTTGTAAATTTTATAACTCAGTACAATTCGTTGTAGTATAATTTGGAATGTCAAACAAGATATTTACTCCTTTGAAATTTTGTTCGTTGATGTCAAGAAGAGATTTTTGCACAATTTTGCATTTTTGATAAAAATGCTGCTTCCAAAAATCGTCGTGCATCGCTAATAGTACAAACACGAAACGTGTTAAAGTACTCATTAAACCATCTAAATACAAAAATTACTGTATTAATTTATAAATCATGAAGGCAAATTGCACATGTTGTAATTTAAAACATCAAATCACATATTTACGTGCAATATTGTTTACTGATACTGAACAAGAGAAGTTCCGCTTGATATTAATAATACTTTAAAGGGGCTTTAGCGGAAACATTGCGCGCGTAACTCGATGAAATTGCGTTATCCCATGTGAGCGGCTTAATATCACACGGAATGTTGCAAGCAAATTACGCGAATTTCCAAAAGTCAGAAAGGAATGCCAATTGCCGTCTCTGCATTTCCCGCTTCCATTTCTCTCGTGGTTATTCACAGCCGACGACGTATATATGCGTGTGTCTGTGCGTAAAAATGGCGAATGATTTTCGCGAGGCCTCGCTTTACCTAAGCACTTAAGACCTCCATTACCAAAAGTGGGCGATGCTCGTCTATTTTAGAATGATTATCGGTTCATGGGGCGATTGTGCGCAGACGCGTCACGTAATGAGCATCCTGTTAATTGCTTTTGCCCGTAGATATTGCGTTCTTGTCTTTATAATTGTCTACCTGCTGCAAATATCCTCTTTCGGTACGATTTGCCGGGCTGTGTGATGCTTTTATCGATCGAATCGACACTTGGTCACTCTCGGACGATTCAATTGTTAGTTTTCTCCAGGGATAATGATACGTTGTTAAATTGACTTGGGTGGAATTAAAATTTATTGCTCGTGGGTTGAAATGTGGACGGAAAATTTGGATCGTACAGAATATACGAACAAATTGAGTGATTAGAAATGCAATAATTTGGGAAACGAGTAATTTTTTAAGTTGGCGATGAATGGAGAAAATAAATTCATATTTGCAGCAATTTTTCAAGTAGGTGATAACTAGAGAAAATAAATTCATATTTTCTTATTTGATTCTTGTTTACAAATGAACCGAGTAATTTTTTAAGTTGGCGATGAATGGAGAAAATAAATTCATATTTGATTCTGGTTTAAAAATTAACCGTTTTGCAAATTTTTGAGTGTTCAATCTGTTCGTTCACCTTGTGTTTCAAATTGAATAATGAAAAATACAATAATTTAGGAAATGAGCAATTTTTCAAGTAGGTGATAACTAGAGAAAATACATTCATATTTTCTTATTTGATTCTTGTTTACAAATGAACTGTTTTGCAAATTTTTGAGGGTTCAATCTGTTCGTTCACCTTGTGTTTCAAATTGAATAATGAAAAATACAATAATTTGGGAAGTGAGCAATTTTTCGAGTAGGTGATAACTAGAGAAAATAAATTCATACCTTTTTATTCGATTCTTGTTTACAAATTAACTGTTTCGTATATTTTTAATGGTATAATCTGTTCGTTGACCTCATGTTTTCAATGTTTTCTTATTTGATTCTTGTTTACAAATTAACTGTTTCGTATATTTTTAATGGTATAATCTGTTCGTTGACCTCATGTTTTCAATGTCTTGTAGAAATCCTAACGTTACATTACAAAAAGATGAGGATTATTAAGTAACAGATGTCTTACAACCTGTACAGATTACTTTAGTTGCACGAGCAGTCTGAAAGGAGTTGTACGTTGCATGACAGAAATTTATTACTATTGGTATCTAGCGTTCAAATTTCCTATTTCTCTGATAGCTCATTTAACGTTCCTATTCCTCCAATAGCTAATTTAAAGCTCAATTAAAATTCACGAGAATTCAATTTTTTCGTAGAAAATCTCCAAAAATTTCCCAAGGTACAAAGAAATTTTTCTAAATTTCAAAATTGCCTTCTTCTCAATTTTATACGTATACGATGCTGAATAAATATAAATGTATAACCAACACTTAACACAAACGCAAAAACGATTAACGTAATTAAATATTGTTGCGTGCGGTGCATCGATAATTATCGATATGCTCATCACGTACACTCATTAAGGGGAGCGAAATGACTGGCGCTCCTTTCGACAGAACACGTTGATTTAATAAATGTCTCAATTCTGACGGAATTGTGCGAAGAAACGTTTAAATTCCTCGCACTTCTACAATTTTTATCAGCGAATTAACAGAACGTGAATTTAAAGTGCTCTAATATCTTCAACAAGCTTGTCTACCTTTTTTTTAAACCACATTTTAGTTCTTTTAATCAGAGACTCCAACTGTTCTAATTTTAATACAACAAAGTTGTAGTATAACAATTATTTTATCGACTGAAAAGTTTTGGTTACAAATATCTGTTTTTAATTTGTCGATAACTATTATCGATGGAGACAATTTTTATCGGTCATCGATAACCAATATCAATGACGAAAAGAGGTTTTTTTTTTTTTAAATTAAGTACTTATAATTAGAATCAATTTGTTTCGACGATGTAGAAAGATTTATAGTAATTCGTACAAAAATATGCAGGTAACTAAACTCTTACAGTTGTTAGTATGAGTCAACATGACGTGGCACTCGAAACCTGTGTCACTGCTCGAGCATTTGGTGTCTGACACTGCATTGCACTTAAATGAGACAATCCAAACAAAATTTTTGTTACCGGTAATGGTCATCGGTAAACGAAAAAATTTTAATCATTTATATCGGTTATTTATAACCAAAAAATGTAAAGAATTACAAATTTTTAATCTTGTTAAACTCTG